GCATTCCTGTCACTGCGCACAGGGGAGAGGCCATGCACCAGCCTCAGGTACACTTCGGGGGCCGGTCAAGATTGTCCCAACGATGAGAACGTGTTCCCCACTTTTCCAAATCAGAGAATTCACACAAAACTCTGGATTCCTTCCTTGTCCAGAAGAAGTCAGGAGGCAGGTGACCCTGGGCCTCTACTCCTGGCCACTCTGGGTGGTCCAGGCCAACCCCCACTTGCTAGCTGTGACCCTGCAGGAGACTGGGTCTCTGTATCTGCCGGTCTGAGAGCCCTCAGAGGCCTCCGAGTGACTTGGGCCTGCGGCCAGCAGGGGGCGCTAGCGCTTCAGGCACAGGCAGCCTGGCCAGCTTTTCCCCAGACCAAGCTGCTGCAGTTCCCCAAGAGCCCCTAGTCCAGGGGTTCCAGTTCAGCCCTGCAGCAGGCAGTAGAGCTGAGGAAGTCTGCCCCAGGAGCATCTGCCCTGTGTCCCTCGACAGCCCTGGGAGATAGGGGCTCTCGTCAGTCACCTTTTACAGACCCAGGGAGCCACCAGCTAGGAAGCAGCTACCAGAGCCAGTGCTGACCCCAGCTGCTTCACGAGACGGGTCGTCATGGGAACACGGGTTAAAGACGCAGGGTCAGTCACTGCCCCTCGGACGGGGCAGGGAGCAGCATGGCTCAGAGAGACACCAGCTGCCCCGGTGCTCAGAGCTGGCTGGACAGAGAGGCCCGTTTGGAAAGGAGGAAGCGAAGCGTGAGGACAGAGCTGGGGTCTGAGAAGACACGTGCCAGGTGCCTCAAGGGACCTTGGACTTGGCCCTGAAGCCCCCAGGAGGCTACCCTGTGGCTGGGTGACACCCAGTCTAACCCAAGAAGGCCCTCCCTCCCCTCTGCCTCCAGGTTGGCCGAGCCCCACGCCAGCCACAGCCATGAGCCTCTTGAGGAAGGAGCCCCTCGGCACCAGCAGCTCTGAGCCCCTCCCAGTCGTCATCATCGGTGAGTGCGGGCTCTCCTTGGGGAGGGCCTGTGCAGGGCCCCAGGTCCCCGGACCAGTGGTCGCAGCCCCCAGGCAGGCCTTGCGGTCGCAGTTAACCCACTGAGCATTTACCAGGTGGCTGGACTCTTACTGGCTGACAAAGTCCTGCTGCCTTAATCCTCCCGAGAACCCAGCAGCCAGCAAGCAGCTCCAGCTCGGGGTGGGAGGAAGGGCCCGTCCAGAGCCCGCACGGTCCCGTGATGGCCCTGCGCCCAGCACGAGGGCGCATAGCAGCACGTATGGTTCCCGTCCCCAGAGACAGACAGTCCCTAGCATCAGGGCCACGTGAAAGGGTCCCTCCAAGGCCAAAGCTAGCAGGAGGCCACCCCCTGTGCTCCTAATAGCCAACCTCAGGCCAGGTAAGGGGAGGCAGAAGTGGGGCCAACTTACTTCCCAGGAAACCCCAGAGACAGCTCACAGGTGCCTCGGCACAGCTGTCCTGAGCACCCAGCGCCCAAGCCCGTCCCCTGAGCATGTGGCTCCCAGCTGGGCTCACTGGGATCTCAGACCTCAGCTGTGTTGTCCAAGTTTCCCTCTGTCTGGGTTTGAGCCTCAGCTCTCCTGCCAGCTGTGTGACCCCAGGCCACTTACTTAACCTCTCTGTGCCCCAGTTTCCTGAAGTATAAAAGGAGAGAGAGAAGTGTTTCTCTCAGTGATGTTACAGTGGCAGTGGTATTAAAAGATCTTAAAAGAACCCCTGGCATACAGCAAGTTCTCAGCAATCGTTCATTGATTTTTTTTTCTTAATTATGATATATATTTTTTTGAGAGGTTTTTGCTATAGGGCGCATGCACTTGCCAGACAGACAGAGAGACATAGAGACAGAAAGTGAGAAATCACCTCCCAGGGGGGATGGTCACGCCACAATCCCTTCTCCTCCATTCTCCTCTCAGGATCTTGGGCACGCACGCACACGCGCCTGGCGTGAGTTCTAAGCCACCGGGTCCGGGACTCGAACCACGGTCGACTACATGGGATTCCAGCGACATAGCCATTAAACTAACTGCTGGTTCTCCTTAATTATGATATATTAAAAATAATTATTTTATTTAACTTTACTCATTTTTATTTACTTTAATTTGACCAGAGGAGGACAGAGTGAGTGTGAGAGAGAGAAAGCAAGAAAGCAAGCTGCCTGGTCCAGGACTCAAACCACAGTCAGCCATCTGGGCATCCAGTGCCCTTAACCACCACGCCACCTGCAGGCCCCCTTGATTACTATGATTATACTTGGTGTCTGCCACAGAATAAAGGCTTCAGATGTCTTTTATTTGTATATTTGTTTTCAAGAACGAAGAGCAGATCGAGACCAAGCCTCAGCACTGCTCTTGTGTCTAATGAGGCTGTGGCTCTCTCCCCAGGCAACGGCCCCTCGGGCATCTGCCTGTCCTACCTGCTGTCGGGGTATACGCCCTACCTGAGGCCAGATGCCATCCACCCGCACCCCCTGCTGCAGAGGAAGCTCGCCCAGGCCCCGGGGGTCTCCATCCTGGACCAGGTGAGTCAAGCCTGGGGAGGATACGCATGCCCTTTGGGAACCCCTACAGTTTTCCAGAGAAAAGCAGAAGTCCACATTTTACGGGAATCAGACCAGACACAGTGAGAATCCATGCCACCATCCAAGAAACTGTGTGAGCGAAACCGAGGCTGCCTTTGAGACCTGCCACCACTGTGTGGGGTGTCTCACCATGGCCTAGATGAGGCGTTCTCAGCAAGGCAGTGGTTCTAGCAGTGTCTGGTCAGCACAGCTGGGTGCCGGTGCTTCTGAATTGGGGCATAGAGGCCAAGGATGCTGGGAGCCACCCTGCAATGCACGAGACAGCCACCAGGACAGGGACCCCCAGCCCACACTGAGAACCCCTGACCACGAGGGCTCACAAGCGCTTCCTCCATGCCCCTTGCCTTCCGGGAGGCCACTGACTGCCCACCTGCCCCTCCAGGCAGCGTCCATCCTGCTGGGCCCCTCCTAGCCCTGAGCTGAGGAGTGGGAGGTAAAGTCCGGACCACCCACCTAGGTCAGCATCCCCAGGTCCCTTCTAGGTCCTCAGAGTGACATGCAGAGAGTCCCTGCTCCAGGACACGTGGGAGATACCAGGGGTGCCGGGACGGCGGCAGGACGCATCAAAGCCTTTGACGTGTTGGTGCACACTGTCGTTTGGTGAGAGGCAGCGCGTCCTGCACCCAGCTGGCCCCTAATACCAGGGAGGAATGCAGCGCCAGGTGATTGTTCCAGGCCCTTCCAAGCTGGCTGGAGGGGTTCCAAAGCGAGAGCTCCCAAATGGCCCCATGTGACATCTCTGTGCGGCCAGGGCCCTCCAGCCTCAGGGAAGCGGCCCATCCCCAGCTGGGCCCCATGCCGTGCCAGCCTGAGTCTTAGAGCGCACAGCCACTCTGACCCGCACCCCTCCCTAGGACCTGGACTACCTGTCCGAGGGCCTGGAAGGCCGGTGCCAGAGCCCCGTGGCCCTGCTCTTCGATGCCCTGCTGCGCCCGGACACAGACTTCGGGGGAAACATGGACTCTGTCCTGACCTGGAGGCACCAGAAGGAGCGAGCCGTCCCCCACGTGGTTCTGGGCCGGAACCTTCCTGGGGGAGCCTGGCATGTGAGTGGGGTGGGGCGTGGGGGTGGGGCCAAATCTGCTCCAAGTCTGGGGGAGACTGCCTGGTCCCCTAACCAGGGCAAGGACTCTTCCTTCCCCTTTCCTCATCTACCTCCCTCTCTGCCCCTCAGCTCTGCCTGCCCTGCCTCCTCTCTCCGCAGCCCGCTGGGGTCTCCCTGCCATCGGCCCGAATCATGTGGGCTGGCGGGGCCCTGGCCTAACTGGCCTCTTTCCACAGTCCATCGAAGGCTCCATGGTGACCCTAAGCCAAGGCCAGTGGATGGGGCTCCCGGACCTGCAGGTCAAGGACTGGCTGTGCAGGAAGCGAAGGTGAGGCAGCCCCAGGCAGCCTGGGTGGGCAGGGAAGACTGAGCCCTCACAGAGCCCGGAGCCAGAGGGGAAACTGAGGCTTCGCTAAAGGAAGGGCTTGCCCAGACCACATGGAGTAGCAGTGAGCAGCAGAGCTGGCTCACCCAAGACTCCTGGCCTGTGCTGCCCCATCCCTCCATGCAGTCCCCCAACTCGGCCTCCTGTAACACCCCAGCCTAAGGAGGGGGTGAGGGCCGGCAGCTGCCACCCGTGCCTGCCCTGAGCCTCTCTAGGTCAGCTAACAGGATGCACTTACTTTTCACTCTCATGTGTTTGCGTGCAAAACAAACACACTACAGATTGCTGAAAATTAAGCAAAGATGACACCCTCACCCCGCTACCCCCAGTACTGGCACATCTGGAGGTGCCTCTCCTGTCGGGTCCCTTGCCCCACCACAACCACACTGCGCCCCGGAGAAACAGTCGAGTCACAAAACGACTGAATTCCAGCCTCTGCCCTGCCTGGTGGAGGCGGAGTTGCCTGAGTGAGCCCTGACTCCAGGGCAGGTATTAGGGTGCAGCCTGCCCTTACAGGGAGGCCTAATCCCCAGGCTGTGCTGGTGGGCCCAGGGCCTCTCTCAGTCCGCTGTCTCTGACACAAAGACTGAGGCTCTCAGGGGTAGGACAAACTCCAGGCCTGGTAGCCATGGGTTCACAGCCAAACAGAAGACATGCTCTGTGTATAAACACTTTGTTACACTCTCTTACATCGAAACAGTGTATCATAAGCATCCACCGGGTATGACAGTGCTTGCACGTGGTATGACAGTGGTTGCACGTGGTATGACACAGTGTTTCCCCGCAGTGTGACAGTGTTTCCCCGCGGTGTGATACAGTGTTTCCCCACGGTATGATACAGTGTTTCCTCGCGGTATGATACAGTGTTTGCCCACGGTATGATACAGTGTTTCCCTGCGTATGATAAAGTGTTTGCAGGTGGTATGATACAGTGTTTGCCCATGTATGATACAGTGTTTGCCCGTGGTATGATACAGTAGTGTTTGCACGTGGTGTGATACAGTGTTTGTCCATGGTGTGATACAGTGTTTGTCCGTGGTGTGATAATGTTTGCCTGTGGTATGATACAGTGTCTACACATGGTATGATACAGTGTTTGCATGTGGTATGATACAGTGTTTGCCCATGTATGATACAGTGTTTGCCCGTGGTATGATACAGTAGTGTTTGCACGTGGTGTGATACAGTGTTTGTCCATGGTGTGATACAGTGTTTGTCCGTGGTGTGATAATGTTTGCCTGTGGTATGATACAGTGTCTACACATGGTATGATACAGTGTTTGCATGTGGTATGATACAGTGTTTCCTGTGGTATGATACAGTGTTTCCCCGTGGTATGATACAATGTTTCCCCGTGGTATGATACATGTTTGCCCCTGGTATGATATAGTGTTTGCACCTGGTATGATACAGTGTTTGCCCGTGGTATGATACAGTGTTTCCCCATGGTATGATACAGTGTTTGCATGTGGTATGATAGTGTTTCCCGTGGTATGATACAGTGTTTCCCCGTGGTATGATACAGTGTTTCCCCGTGGTATGATACAGTGTTTGCACCTGGTATGATATAGTGTTTGCACCTGGTATGATACAGTGTTTGCACGCGGTATGATAGGTGTTTCCATATGGTATGATACACTGTTAGCATGTGATATGACAAGTGTTTCCACATGGTATGTCAGTGCTTGCCTGTGGTATGTACAGTATTTGCGTGTGGTATGATACAGTGTTTGCACGTGACATGACACGTGTTTGCCCATGGTATGACAGGTGTTTCCCGTGGTATGACAGTGTTTGCAACCATCCTTTTACACAGTCTTGTAATCCTCTCAAAGGTGGGAGAACACCTCTGGGCTCAGCAAACCTTCCTTGAATGTGTGCTGTGTGCCAGGCCTATGCTCGGGCATTGGAGCAAAGCACGGCAGACGCACTCCCTGCCCTCGCGTGCTGTCATCACCACAAATAACACGCCTGCATGCTTAGGGCCGTTGCCTATGACGAGCTTTCCAAGCACCGAGGTGGGAGATGGCAAGCCCGTGGAAATGAGTGTGGCTGCCCTGGTAGAGCCTGGACAAGCCAAGCTGGCTGGGGTGGCCTTGGGGACGCTGTCTGAGCCATGCTGCCATTGTGGCGTTCAGCCAGACGGCGTGTCACACAGCGTCTCCATTCAGTGAGCTCAGCCTTGGTAACACGTGCATACGCTGGGCGCCTCACTCCCCGAGGTTGCCCCACCAGATAGTGAGCCACTGAGATTGCGCCGAAGTGCAACTCGGCCCCAGCCAGAAGGGTCTGACCACCCCTGGAAAGCTTTTTTTAAAGAGTGACAATAACAATAGTAACAGCCCCTGTTGTCGTCAGGTGGGCGGGAACCCGGCTGAGTGCATCCCCGCGACATTTGTCATTGACTTCTTCATTGGGATATAGAGAAAGGACACAGCGTGGAGTGGGGGTCGGTGGAACTGTTACTCAGAATGAAGAAGAAATCCCTTCTCCCCAGAAGCCCCACCATGCCCTCTCCGTCACCTCCTTCCTCTCCTGCCCTCCGTTGCCGGTTCCTGAACTTTCTGAAAATGGAACCATGGCATGTTTACATGGGCTACTCCCGAGTCCTGAGATGTGTGAGCGTGGTGGCCAGCCCTGCTCTGTCACTGACTGCCAGGCAGGCTCTCCCCGGGCACTTCGTTTATGTAGGCTCACCTATGCCTCTCCACCAACTCATTAAACAGGGCCTGCCACCACCATCGTCCGCATTTTGCAAGTGGGGAAACTGAGGCAGGGAGCAAATCGGGCACACGGCTCACGGCAGCAGAGCCAGGACTAGAGCCAGGGCAGTGCGGCTCTGGAGGCCACACCTGAACCAGCCTGTGCCCCCTCTCCCGAGGGCAGTGCCTGGTTAGCTCCATCTCACAGAACAGGAGACTGAGGCTTGGCTGAGCCCTACAGTCAGTGGGTGACATGGCTGCTGTCCAGCTCCAGGCTCTGCCATCCCATGCCCCACCCAACTCTCCCCACCCCTGGACAACCACGATGCCCCTCCCAAATCCTCCCACAGAGGTCTGCGGAACAGCCGGGCCACCGCTGGGGACATTGCTCGCTACTACCGGGACTACGTGACCAAGAAGGGGCTGAGCCACAGCTTCGTGTCCAGGGCCGAGGTCACGGCCGTGGAGTGGGGGGCAGCTGAGCCCAGCAGCTCAGGGGCCCCAGGCCCCAGCCCCCTATTCCAGGTGAGCGGCTTCTTGACCGCCAAGGACCAGAGCCGGCAGCCTTTCTCACTGTGTGCCCGCAACGTGGTGCTGGCCACGGGCACGTTCGACAGCCCGGCCCGGCTGGGTGTCCCCGGGGAGGCCCTACCCTTTGTCCACCACGAGCTGTCGGCCCTGGAGG